CATTGTTAGGCTAAAATCAGAACATGATATAGAGTGCTTACCGAGTGAGTCGTGTTGTCAGTAATGCCAGTTGCCAGTGATGTGTTAAACTCCAGAAAACTGTCTCCAAGGGACCTGGTCTTGTCTCTTCATCAATGCTACAGCTAATAAAACCACAGAGTCAAGTCAACAAAGATCAGAGCTGAATAACATACAAGTAGACATCATTGGGATGTCTTTATATAAAGCTCTCTTTTTCGTGTTGTTTCAACTCTCTTCAGTAGTTGGGTGGTCGGCAAACGTTACTCCTGAAAAGTTATACTTCGCAAGCCTCGAAGCAACCATTTTACAACTGACACCCCCTCTACTTTCTTGGGCTCTTTTAACAGCCCCAGAAAATAGAAAATTAAGGCATAATTAAGAAAATATTTTAAGACATAATTAAGAATTAAGAAAATTAAAATCCCCCAATTTCAATACGATTTTGCATACACCCAGGCGGGGACTGGGCCAAAAACTCTCTGATATTTCACGCTTTGCCTACCATCCCAAGTTTATCAATGGCATTAACCACTTCCTGAAGGGCAACCCAGTTTTGAATAGATAGACTTTATACGCAGAGCCTGGAATGCTCGAAACTGAGACAAAAGAACTGGGATTGGAACAAAAGACCGTGTTTGGCACAAAAGACTGAGCTGCTGGGCATTACCGACATTTTTTCACTCTCAATAGTGGAGATAATTCAACCTTGGTTTGGAACAGTATACCATGGTTTGAGGCATTCAGAGCATGCCGATTACCACCGGAGACAAAAGCGCTTCACCACTGCAGCAATGAGCCACATTGCACCGCTGCATGCTAATCTGGCCCCTACTGAAAAGAGGTTAGAAGTGCACTGAGCCAGGTTTGTGAACAAAAGAAAGTTACATAACATTGCACAATCGGGACTCTTCTGACAATGCTGCAGGCCTGGCTGAAATACTCGGGCATCAATGAAGTTTACCTATCACCTTAAACTAGCGCCCAAAGATCCCTTTGTGTGGGTATAAACATCCATTAAATGAAATGATGAATTTTTGAAGAATTTTGAAAACTGAAAATCTTGAAAATGACCCGTATGTGTGCACTGCATTTTCAAAGCACCTGGCAGCAAGTGGTGAAATTATGGCTCCCCATACACATGTATTTTACCTATGTTTAGACACGGATTAAATTTATCCACAGAGAAGGACCTCCGTCCCTGTCAACATTTGGAAAAGACCTGTAACATAATGACGTCATGCTTAGTTTACATGTGCAGCTAGCAGCGTTTCCTAAGGCAGTAGGGTGATGCAATATAGTCCAAATAGAAAATAATAGCTTGACATCATTATGTTTTAGGTCCATATATCAGGCATTANTAAAAAAAGGATGGAATAAGTTCACAGGAGACTCAATCAGTGAATTATACCTTTGGAATGACCAACAATGATGGACCCACTCACCTTTTACCCAGAAGGCAACAGTAAGAGATCAAAGTACCAATCACCTCAACAACGAGCACAGGAACTCCATAATCAAAAAACTGGATGTACCATGAGTGGCTTGTGCTCTGACTGAAATGGATACACAAAACAGTCATTAAAACATGTAGAAGGAAGAAATGACAATACAACATGAGTGTATTAGCCTGGATTCACTGATTATAAGCTGGCAGTGGAGGATTGACAAAGGTGGAGAAACAAAGTTACAAGTGCTTCCTCAATGACCTTCTTCCAGGCATGTGGTTCCAGATAGATGTGATTGAATTGACACCAAAGAATTATGGTCAAGATGGCTTACATCATATTTCCCAGCCACTGTTGAACCCTTGGGGTGTATGGAAGAGGCCAGCCTGTGTGAAGGACATCATAAAAGAAACTCTGGACATAGACTGTTATTCATTCTGCATGCTGCCACCATATGGAGAGCCTCGATCTGGCAGTTTGTACAATTGCATCAATGCAGCTTCTGAAACACTGTCCAATTGTACGGTATAAAATCCGACACAGCATGCGCAGAATGACCAAGCAACATACAAGGAAATCACTGAACCGATTTTGTAAAGATCAAGATCGAGATTCTGCATGCCTGGGGCGGCAGCGTGCAAAGAAAGAATTGTAGCAACTGTGGGCTAGCATGCCATATTGTAACAACCTGATGCATTGCAACTTTAATGTACTTGATGCTGAAAGATGGCTTCAGTGAGTAAAAAGTTGGCTGATAAAACAAAACAAGTCCAGATTTTTTTAAACGACCCCTGTGGAATGTGTACACTCATCCTTGTACGTGATTTGGATCCAGGAATGAGGACATTTCATTTCAGTACACTCCTCATTCACTACAAGCAGCCTGTAGATGCAGCTTCTGTCTTGTTTCTGCTCACTTTGGCAAAAATTGTACAACCATACCAAATAATTCCGTCCATTTTTTGTATTTTAATTCAACCCAACCTTGAAGACCGGAGATTCTCATTAGTTGAAAAACTTAAAAAAGACAAAACCCAAGGTCAAGATCGACAGAACAACCAGGCATTTCATTATTACCATGGACTAATATCAGAACGTGATGTAGACTGTTTCCATACCTGTTGAGTAGTGTCACCAGTGATGAGATTTCTCTGATTTGTTACACTCCAGAGAACGGCCTCCAGGGACCAGCTTGCTCTTGTCTCTCTGTCAAACTACTGAAACTAGGGAAACTAAATCAACCACGTTTCAGTGCCAATCTGTATTACTACACACATGTGGAGGCCACAAATTCAACATATAGACTGCACTTTACAACAGTAATTGAAGCATCACTGAAAGCAGTGTCAAATCAACAAAGATCGGGGCCAAATAATATACAAGCCCATATCACTGGAGTTTCTCATATAAATCTTATTATCTTCTTAGTTGTCATTTTTCCATTTCTTTTCAATTGTTGCTTGACTAGCTAGTATATTTTATTTTTCAAAACACCTTAAATACATGTACACTTCCCAAAAAAGTCCTTTTCCTCAAGCCTGTAAGAAGTGATTTAACATATTACATCCCTCTACTTTTTTCAGTTCTAAAGATTTGTTTTCAACCATCTACAGATGCAAGCCTGCAAAACAAGGAGTGTTGATCTAGGGTTATATTTAAACAATCCCACCTGTTTTTTCAGCCAAGCAATCACTTCAATCTGCCTTGAGTAGAAGCACAACTTAATTGGTTAAAAAGAGCCGTGTTGGTTGGGAATATTCATTTTGTTGGTAGCAATGGGGCTACTACCATGTCATAGTTGTTCATGAACCAGTGATGCACAGTACCAAAGTACCAAAGGAGCCTCTGATGCCAAGGAAATAGTGTTCTCTCTCGGTCCAACTGAAGGCCAAGACAGGAGATCAAAGTCTGTGCAGAAAACATTTCCAAATTATAAACAGTATTAACCGTAGCCTCCAAGGGTGCATGTGAAATAATAATAAGATCAGAGGATTTTGGGGACCATTTTAACTTTAATAGCTCCCCATATACATGTCATATACGGGATTTGGGCAAAATAAATGTATTCGCCAAGGATGATCCTTAAATAGACATAATGAAGTCACACTTTGTTTACACGCACTATATTATAAGACAGTAAGGTGGGGTAGGTCTTAATGTACTAGGTCTACAGGACATGAGGGAATGAGTTCACAGGAGACTCAATCAGTGAATCCTACCTTTGGGATAACCAATAACAAAGAATCACTCACGTTTTACCAAGGCTACAGTAAGAGATCACAGTACAATCACCTTAACAACAGTGGCCGTCATCAAGAAATGCCAAGAAGCTGGTCGTCCTGTAAGCAACGATTCACCAGCGGCTTGTGCTCTAGCTGAAATGAATACACATAACAGTCATTAAACATGCAAAATGAAAAAATGGCAAGAAAATATGACTTGAGGAGCCTGTTTGGCGATTCTCAGAGGGCTTTGAAGGATCGGAAAGATGGAAAGAGCTGATTGAGAATTTGTAATTCACGTATGTGCACCCAGCACTGCCAGTGTATCAAATTAGTTATACATAGCATTTTACGGGGAGGTGCATAACAGGGGTAGCCATAATCCAGTCCCGCCTCCTGCGATACGGCTTCAAATTTTGATCAAAAGAGGCAGCGGTGGAGAGCCGTAGCCAATGTTCGATACTTGTGCATGTCGTAGTCTCACATGGAGATGCCGCACCGTGTGTTGCCAACATAGAGTGCAACATAAACCGTTGAAAACATTTCATGTAAGGGTTTTACTGAAGATATACACGTACCTCACATATACATGTATATTTGCAATGGATGTTTGTAATGACACACATAATAAAGCCAAAAGTGCAAATAGTTTCTAAAATAGATATTCTACACTATTCAAAACATCAATTGGACTTTCGGTTAAGCAATGTATTGCTGAGACAGAATAAAATCACAGTGCATCTGGCTTTAAAAACGTTTGTAAGCTAATGACCATCAGGATGACGTTTAGCTCAACGCTGGCTTCACATTTGTGTGTTTCACATTCTTGTGAAAACCCCTATTGCAAGAATATCATGATTTGTTTTGCACAAAGACAGGAATAAACAAATTTTCACTACTCGAAAAAGACTACTGCACATTTGACTACATAAGATCATTCACTCACAAAACAATCCAGCAAATGTCTCATTTCCATCACAAAAGCTAACTGGCATTCCACTCTACGACCCTGAATAATAAGTAAAACCAAGTTGAGGAAGGAAACATACATGGTATGCACTGCCACAAAAACCTTCGTATCTGAATGAGAATGACTGAGAGAAAGGAGGGAGACAACGGAATAACAGACAGATGAATAACAGATAGACTGACAAACATACCGACAGCACATAGACAGATGAGCAAAACAAAGAGGACAGTTATCTTGGAAACTAGACCTCTCCCCATTGTTTTTTCAGTACAGAAAGATTTTACAGTAATACCTCAACCAAAATCATTTTGGCACAGAAGAATCTTTGAAAATAATCAAGTTGTATTCAGAAATGATTAGCACAGCCTCCAATTTTAAGATTTTTATCATGCAATCATTGGAAATCTCCATGCATGACTCCATGCAACACAGACTCAAAGTATGAGGCCTACTTTCTACCCAATTTTTACCAGGTTCACTGAAATATGTAGAAATTACAGATTGTAGCATGTATTTATATAATTCTGAACCTACATGTAAGTGGATAGGTCTAGGTAGTTTCAAAGACTTTGGCTTCCTGACAAATTCTCGTGGGGTGTAAAGTAATGTTTTCTCTTCATTTACCACATCAAATCATACAATCCTCCAGTTTGTTTAGACTACTCATCGAATATAAAATTAGTAACTTCGGCCCCACATACAGGCTGGAGATTTTCATTGGTTGAAAAATTGGTCGGACAAAAGTCATGTGTCAGATTTACAAAACAACTGTACATAGGCCCCTTTTACTCCCTAGGCCTATTTGTTTTATTATATTACCATTTACTGTTGGGATGTTATCAGAGGTAGGCTAGGCCTCCAGTGTTTGTATAACGTGAGCTGTTTCCATACCTTGCTGAGTACAATAAAGTGTCAGAATATATCTCAGATGTGGAACAATCCAGAAAACGGTCTCACAGGAGTGTTCCTCGTCTCTCCATTACAGCTACAAGTTAAGAAACCAAAGGAACCCCGTTAAAATCCCAGCCTGCATGACTGTGGGGCCGCCATGCCATGTTTAAATACAGCGTGCACTTTACCACAGCAAAAGCCAAGCCCACATTTGTGGAGTATGTCATACAGAAATCTCATTATTGTCTTTGCCGTCATTTTCCTTTTATTTTCAATTGTTGGGTGGTAAGCCAGTGATGTTTCTCACCTTTAAACTCACCTCCTGTGAAGTCGCATTTGAACAAACCCGCCAACGTAGCCACACAGGCGTTCTCGTACACAGGCATTGTAATGCTAATAATGCCCGCGCCATCGTGGAAAACTGGTCGTCGATCAACTTCCACACATATTGAGCAGGGTACCAAACAGGGGATCAAACAGCGCTGGTGATTGGCGTGCGTGAAATAGGCCCTGTCATGCAGCAGTGTGCACAAGCACCACGAAGATCTGAAGATAATGGAAGTATTTTTTTTCGGAAAGTAGGCCTATG